TCTGTGTGGTTATTCGCTTTTCGTTTCACTGCTACACACTTGCCGCATGAAAACTTTTCCGTACTACTTCTTGGATTTACTACACTTTGTCGAGGCCCTTTCTATGGTTCATGGAGCTCACAAACCCCGGGGTTCTGCAGCAATTCTGTACCTGCCAATTTTGATTTACGCCCACTCGTGGTTACCAAGATTTGCTAGACTCTGGTGACCAAGTTTTCTCTACTTGCCTTCCCCTCCGTTTTCTTTATCAAACTCCATTGATGACTCGTCAGAACCTTCGTCAAACCCGCGTAATAGATTCTCAAGCCGAAATACCAATTTCAAACTCCATTTCCTCCACTAAAGTCATGAATAAGACAATTACACGCCCCTGAATTTAGTTACTTTAAGGGCAACTTTTATTGTAATTAGATCTCCAAAAAGAAAAATCATTTCAGATGGTCTGCAAATGACAAGTTCTTGCAGTAAATGAAAATTAACTTCTCCGTAGATGTGAAATTTTTGGGGAAGATGCTTTTATCCATAGAATTATTTCGTCAACCAACTGTTGATTTTATATATATTCACACCGTGAATAATAAAATAAAAAAATTCTTCAAGTATCTTATTGAACATTCCACGATATTTAGAGGTGTTATCCACTGATCAAATCACTGATTCTATCTGTACTGTAATCACCCGAAATAAGTTCAAGTCACTGGGTCTTTCCCATCCAATGAAAATTTCACGAAAGAAAAATTGAAATTGGGGTCTCATTTTGCTGAAGCTTTCCATAAAACAAAGAAAATCATTTTCTGTGGGCTTTATATAATGTTATAGTCTTTTGTGGTCAATTCTATAGCAGCAGGTATAGAGTTGGGTGAGGTGCGTGCGGGCTACCTACCTTTTGTGAAGCTGCAACCAAGCAGAAACACCCTGTGACAACGAATTCGTTCTAGCATAACTCGAACATCAGTGCTAGACGTTGCTTCGGTGCTCATTAAATTGACTGTACTCGCACCCTTCCCCTGACTTTCCCCTGACTTTCCCCTTTCATGCCCGAAATAACCTCGTCAGATCAAATATATACAGTTTATCAAAGATAATCAGCATTATCCAAAAGTATTTAAGCATTTATTTAGGAGGGTGGATGATGCCAAGCCAAGGGAGAGGCGCCAGAGGAAAATCTCGACTTTGTTCGTGTAATTTTGTAATTTACGAGATTTGGCAGGCATCCAGAACGGACAAGATGAGTATTACACGAGCCTGAGAATGTCCACCACGTTGTTTCCACGCGAATAGGGCACGGAATCCGCCAGAGAAGAACAAGTGACATTAAAAGTAGTGAGTCTCAAAACGGAAGACACGGATGTTCGATTCAATGACACCATTCCTCATTCCTTCCAGTGAATTATTGTTTAATTTCAATGGAAACCACCTCTCTCCATTAATTCCAAATAATTGACATTTAGCCACAATTTTCGTTTTATGGGTCATTAGAGATATTTCAATTTATCTCAAGATCGATTTAATTTTGACTTTTTGTTACTTTCTGTAAGTGAGTTTGGAGTGTTTGCTTTGGTTTGAGGAGTGAGGGAATGGAGAATGAAGGAAAACAAAGACAAAGCTTTGAAAAGATAACGCGTGGCGTGATGAAAAAAATGATTTCTCCAGGGTCGAGCGAATCGTTGGTTGTCTCACAGATCCGCAATGTCCGGAGGGCTATTTATTATATAACCATGTGGCTTTTCGAAGGATAATCACGTACACTGCTATTGTTTCGCCTGTGCTATAGACTCTGCCACGTGACATGAATTTTCAGATGATAACATGGTATGGTATATGGGCAGTACTTGCTCTTGCCTCATCTCGGCTTGACCCCACTGTTAACAACATTTCAACTTGAATTTCTTCACTGGGCATAAATAATTTTTTTGAGCATTGATTAATGGTGAGTTATGGAGATGCCTTAACTACACTCTGATATAATCCCGTACACTCATGACAATTGCAATAGATGTAACGGCTGACTTGTCGGAAGTGCCGCAACAATTCAAGCAAGACAATGCCTTTCCGTTAAATCCAATGAAACTTTACCATGAATGAGGATAGATGGTGAGGGGCTGGAGGGAAGATTGGTTGGATGTAGGAAAGTACGAGAGAGATGGATAAAATAGAAGGGGAAGCACAGTAAACGCGTTTGGAGGGTTCTAGTCTGCCTGAGGAGGTGCGGTCTTGCGGTTAGTTCGGAAGCGTTTCGCGGTGGTAACTCGAAGCGAGGCGTTCGCCATGATGGAGACGAAGCACGCCACTCGGTTCAAACTTTCGACAACCAAGTGAGGGTGTTAAGGTAAAAAACTAGAGGCAAAATTCCAATACGCCTGCAACCCCTGCAACACCTGCAACACCTGCAACCCCTGCAACACCACTTAAATGTCTTGATAATGTATCATCAAATTGATGCACTTTTCCAAAATCATAGACCATCATAAACCACGGAAACAATGTCACGAGATATAAATATATAATAACTATATGGCATCAAGAGGATGTTGGATAAAATGATTGCATCTCTGGGATTTGAGTGCGGAAAAAGAAAAGCGTAAAACGAACGTGGAGGAGTAGAAGTACAGCTCCTCTCTAAATCCGGCAAGCTATCTTTGGGCCTTTATCTTTACGAGCGTACTTATCGGCTTTGAAATCGAGTATGAATCTCTCGCAAAGCCTCGAAAGAACCGTATCGTGAGTATTCGGTATTCACCCTTCGGTCTTAAAACCAAAATCATGGCGTCTGTTTTCTCATCACTCCATGTTTCCAATCAAATTGGATACTATATTATTGCATACTCGATATCGATAATGTGATTAAAATTTGGAATAAATGTGGGGTAAAAATGTAGTGTAATTGTATCGTTGATTTTGATGAGAGGCAGCAAAGCAACAAGAATGGTAAAGATTCCGATAAAAGCAGCATTGAAGTGCAGGAGAGATATAGGTAGGGCAAACCGAGGAGAGAAAAATAAGGAGGAAATTCCACGGGGCAAGAAAGCTGTGCGATGTTTGTAATGGTGTAATGGAAAAAGTTGAAAGAAGGAAAGATAGAGTACACCGGGAGAAGAAAATGGCAAAGTATAGGGTGGAAGAGGTAGAGGACAGAGCTCGGTGCGGACGGCGATAAAGGAGGAATGCACCAACCAACGCCGAGCATGTCCGACCTTTCGGAAGTTTGAGTGAAACGCGTTTAATGCCCCGCTTTGACGTGCACGAATGTTGCTACCTACCTAGCATTATATACCATCGCGTGGTTCTACCTACACGCCCCACGAATTCAGGAAAATCCTGAAACGCCATCCGGCCGGCTCCTCCATGCATCAATGCAAACGTATAAACTTTTCAAGTGCATGTTTACCACTCGGAGAACATGTGGCAAGTCGAGAAATCCTCTTCGCTAAACAAACCATTAAAAGTGGACAAATCGAAAGAGGAAAGATGTTTTATTTGTTTTCATGTACCCCTATCTAAATGCGGGTAACATCCATTAATATAATCTCTATATAAGACATTTACCGGATGGAGGATGAGCATGGTGGAGAGAAAGAAAATCTCTTTATTTTTTATTTTTTTCTTTTCACAAGGGGTGCTGCTTGGGGGGTGCATTTCCTGGGCTCGCAATAGATATCTAATGGTCACTCGTGTGGCTTCTCACCACCGTCTGACCGGCAGATTATAAGCTTACTTTGGCTAAAGGGTAGCCTAGTTGGATTATTTCCATGCGCAAACCAACGATCGGCCCAAACTGATATCATGATATCCCTCTACTCCTATCCCATACCCTAATCACCATAAATAAGTAACAAAGTACTTTGCAATATTAATCTTTCAGCTGAATATTCCACTGAATATTAAATTAAAATTTAAACATTGTTGAATTGATGAAAAAAATGAACAATCATCAGTATGTATAAATAAATGAAAAGTACTTAGCAATATTATAGAGAAGAGGGTAGCGGATTTTCAAATTCACCTAAGAGGTGATACCAATACCGAAAGAAAGACAATGAAACGTATACCGAGACATATCCGAGGCTAGCCCAGGGGAAATTTAACATGGCAGTGGTAAAGCCGATGTTTCAGACGCTTGCTTTGGTGTGCAGGCAAACGAGACCGACTCTTCAGGGTGTACAACAGAACGACTGGTGGAGAGTACAATGTAGAGAATGACAAGTGTGACATCCTAGGCTAGACCACAGAATAGTTACCATGTATAGGTTGATACGAGTAAAAGCATTTCATGCCCAACCTAACATCATTAACGTTAAATGAACCCTTCTCCCTTTCCACTCTAACAATAATGATTTTGTGTTCTCGACGTGTTTCGCGGACTTGAACTTTCCAACTGCCACCAATTTTTCAGACGAAAAATAAAATAAAGCAACGAAACGACAGAATGGTATAAATGCTAGGGCACTTTATGTAGGTTGAAGTGAACACGCATTGGCGATAACGAGACCCAGTGGCTAGTGAAAAGACAAAGGGAAACCGCTTTCTTCAAGGGAAAGAGTTGATATTAGTGATCGTGATAGCAGACAGGCACGTACACCCAATCCACAGCCCAACACCGTCCACCTCTCCATATGTATACGTACAATATACACAGCCATATACATATATATGTATAATCCTTGGTTAAATTTTCGCCAACGCGGCACCATCATTTCTCCACATTTTCTTTCGTCTTTTTCTTCACCCTCTCTTACTGCCCCATTTTCCTAGTCACAACACCGGGATATTATGCCACGAAACTATTTTGCGTCGCAGTAAGGCCCGTCAGTGCACGAGAGCAAACTCAGCTGCTGCTGCTGCTGCTGCTGCTACCTTGAACTTTTCTATGTTCCACTGTATAAACCATATACAACACGAAATGCCTTCATTTTTGCACCGCGTTGCACACATTTTTTTCTACCCACTCTCATTTCAATTATTTGAAATAATCATATTGACAGGATTATTTTTTGTTACAGGACCGGCACTTCAGGCAAGAGCAGTACTTGATGGTTTAGCAGAGCTGCCATGTGACATACGGCCACCGCAGCCAAACGATTCAGCAGTCTTAGTTGTGTGGTACAAAGCTTCAGAGCGTCTACCCGATATTACCCCAATTTATAGGTGAATTTGATATATTAATTGAGAGAAAAAAATTAATAGTTGGGTGAATGTAATACATGTGTCAAGGTGGCCTAATGTTCTGTATGAGGCATGATTGTGTGTGTGTCTGTCCGTATAGTGTAGGATTATACAGAGAATTCTGGTTGTGACACGTGAATGCAAAGAGCTGCGCGTGACGAGAATAGGGGTTGACCTAAACCCATACAGGATATACAAGAAATGAAAGTGATCGCGTACAAGCACAGAGTTAACATACCATTGAAGAATTCAATCGAATGGGATTTTTGTAATAACATCTGCATCGATTTTCATGGAAATTATCGAAATGCCGAGTGCACATGCGAGTGCTTTGATTTTTATTGACATAACAATTGTCATCAGGCAATCAAATCATTTTAACATTGTGGGTGAGCCACATGTCTGTGTCCCTTGAAGCATGAAGGAAGAGAAGACGAGGTTAATCCGGTAATTTCTCGGCGAACGCCACCATCTTCCGCCAGACGGAAAGCCACCGGATGCGATAGCAAGCACAAGCAAGACTCCCAAATCCTTCATCCACTGGGTACTACCTTCATTCCCATATACATGCTTCCACATTTCAACTGTTATGTTTATCTCATGTTTGTATGCACATTGGATAATCCCCGTCATAACATAACACAACATCATTTTACTTGCAAAAATTCATTTTCATTTCCGCTTAAAATATGTTGACAATTCCATTTTGAATAAATTAAAATGATAAAATTAAATGTTCTCGCTGTTTGTAATCATGAACTGTATTATTTCGCATTCTCTGAGTGTGCTCATGTTATACAAGAGTGAATTACAATTTTATACTCGTATACATATGCAGGAATACTTGCACCGACCATAAACGCGGGGGTATTCATCGTTGACGACCATAGTAATCCACATTATCACGTATAATCGTTGCTATATAATATGCGCAGTTATCATTGTGCATCCTAAAATAATATATCAAATAATATATATATAATTGGAGTGTTCAATAAATTCGTTTGAATTTTGGCGGAATAATTCTTGCGATCCCCTATAATGAAAACGCATCCGTTACATTTAACAACAATTTGACATAGAAGCTGTGGAGACAACATAGGCTGCATGGAGGAATCTCGGAATATAGAACATGCGCGAGTGCACATGCTAGTTAAATAAATTATTCTCCTTCTAATTACGCGAAAAAGAGTGGAGAGTCAGTGGCAGCGGTAAGCATGCAGTCACTGAGCACAACCAGCAGTAATAAGGGCGTTCGAGGGGGACTTGGAGATGAGAAAATGGAACAAAGCAAAGAGAAAGAGAGAAAAGAAAAAAAAAAAAAAAAGAAAGTACACGAGCGTCCGAGTTTACGACCAACCTTTATCTCTCCAACTTTCTTCCCTTTTTCCAGTTTACCAAAACCTTCCATATACCTTCCATATACCACCCTCCTCCCCTCGCTGCGCACTTGTCACCGCAACTTGAACATGATTGCACCAGACTAGTTTTTTTTATTATTAATATTTTATTTTGCTTCATTAATCCTTCGATACCAATCCCAAAAATATGTGGAAAATGTTTAAATCCATTCCACCAATTCCTCTGACAGGGCGAGACAATAGAGTGGAAATGTGAAAATACATGTGTATTTCACAGCGGAGGAGAGTCGAGAGTCTCTGATATGTATGTATAGCCATGGGTCGCAATTCTCGTGATGTACAGTTCAGTGGTCCAAATCAAACGAAACGGAAACTTCAACCCGTCCAACTCACTTTATATACAGAATCCGTGAACTGCACTGCCTTCCTACTCAATCCACTACTCCATCTCCAGCAGCGCCTATCCAATCCCACATGCATTATCAATAATCCGCAACACATATTTTTTTTTATATTCCCTGGCATTGGAATTATCTGATTATCACAGCTGCTTAGAATTAAAAATAAAAATAAACATGGTCTTCTTGTATATAAGCGGACTCTCGTATATCTTCAACTTCACCTCTCCCTCTCTCTCTCCCTCTCAAGTACAGCAATGTGAGTTGAAAAGTAATATACAGTACAGTTGAACTCCCAGTGCATCATCGTTGTCGTTTCTCTCAGAGGGACTACACGAAATTTCCAAGGAACTTAATCACGAGCTCTGTTCTGTAACCCCGAGGGATGTGGCAAGGATCGCAGCAGTTTACACGTCCGGGCGACGATCTCACCAAGTAAGGGACTGGATAGTATTATAACTCTTGTTACAGCAAGGAGAGAGGAAACTGTTAATTTCTCAATGGGAGTGTTCAACCTACTCTTTCCTCTACTACTCTTTTCATTTTTTTAATTATCGAGTTATATTGTTGAACGATTAAGGGCCGTTCACCATCGATAAAAGTCTTCCTCGAAGGTTTCGGGATAACCGCGGTTACATAATAAATTCAATTGCCAGAAATTGCCAGGTCAGAATTGCTAATAGTATTTCAACAATTCAAATATATAATAAATTGCATGACCACAAAATTGATGAGAAATAAAGGTCGAAATTCAGGTCATTAAATTTTTTTTTTTTGTCCCGAGTTTATTCTCCTCCTTCTATTTTTTCCTAGACTCGGCGAAGTAATTACGAGGGAGTAATTATTCGACGTTATACCTGGTTGGTGGAGCCGTTGGTGAAGTTGAAATCGATCCACTAGGAGAAATGGGACAACGCCAGTAACCGCGACACGACACAGCTGAGTGCAAGAATCGTTGAGTGAAAAAGAAAAAAAAAAGAAATGAAATGGCGAAGAAAAACGAAACAGATAGATATGGGCGTTCATTGACATTTTCTTTTTGCGTATTTATTTTCCATTTCTTCTCAGTGAGTTCGGGCTCGCATCGTCTTCCGCTTCTCTCCATTTGCACAAGAGGCATGCAACGGGAGGATTTTTACAATAGTGCGGGTGATATAGCGCGAAGGAAGTGGCCCCTCTATATATCGAGCGTGGAATACTCGAGACAGCGTTGAGCAGCGATGCGCGAACAACCTATATGAATAATGTATACTTCAAAATCTATGTTTGTGTGTTTGTCCACAATAACTACCTTGCATAAACCAAAAAAAAAGTAACTTCATTCTGCAATCTGCAAATAAGCATAAAGTAAATGTCTCAAGCCATATATGAGTAGCTAATAGAGACTTTACTACGCGTAAGTAACCACTTTTACGGGGTTAAATTAATTATGGGTATGTGAAAGTGGGAGAGGAATGGAGATGGCCAAACTTAGTACTCTGGGTAGAGATCCTAAGCGTCAGACGGGTAGTCATAGTCTTAAGTCGACTAACGAGTCTAGCTCAACTTATCTCTGCATGTCTCTCTCCCTTTCTCTCAGCCTGTTACCACTCGTTACGACGTAGATGTTGAGGTGAATAACATACAGGAGCCAAAATATACTTACACACCTTCAAACGCCATATACATATGATAAACACTTGGCTACAGATGGAGAACTTTACTGCCATATACACTATCCTCCTTCGTATCCACGCCCAATTCTGATTATTCGGTTATTTGTACACGAGAGAGGAAGATATATATCACTTACCCAACGAAAATGGTCAAAATGCAAATTACTCTGGAATTTAAGTCGTTAACTGCAGACATTCAACTCCATTTGTTAGCATCCTCGGGATAAATTAAAATGATCCTAGGTGAAAATAAAAAAACCACCTGGAGCAAGTACATCTAATATTTACTAATAAATAAATGAAAATTGAAAGAGTAATTGGAGCGGAGCATTGGACAATTGGAACAAGCCTAATATATTTGTGGAGAGATGAGTCATGGGGAGGCGAATATTTAATGAATATGCTAATGGTTTTGAGGAAGGTGTACATGGGGGGATGAGAGTAGATATAAAGAGGTGAGGATAAAAATAGTACGGGGAAAACGGTGGTTGCAGGAAGTGGTGCGAGGAAACTCAACGACTGGGAGAATATCTGGTGGTGGGCGTCGTGAGTGGAGTACCAACGCAGAAATTGGGGGCTGGTACTCTACAGCTGAAGAGGGTATTGAGGATGGTGAGGATGGTGAGGTAAAGTGAGGTAGAGGAAAAGAGGTGACGCCGTCGCATCGGGACTGAAGCGCAAATGTTCGTCGTCGATTTCACGAAATCGATATAGGGTCGCTCGGATACCTCGGATGTGCTTCTCCCAGGGCACTGAAAGGAGGCGAAACTCCCTGAAGAGGTGAGCAGAGAGTGAGAGAGGAAGAGAAATGGTGAAGGAGGTTGAGGTTGAAAACGGCGTGGGTTAATTGAAAATCGCAGGATACTTGAGAGAGAACAACCATCGACCGGAGATCGCTTCTCAACGAATCCTCCTAGTGTATTTCTCTTTGCTCCCAGGGTGAACAATTACAGCAGCAAAAATTCTCCTGTACTACCATCCTACTTTTTTTTTTTTTTTCACTTCCCACAGCCATCGCCTTCCCTATCACCCATTAAAAATGCCACCATTCAATTGAGCAACTACTTTAAAGTAAAATAAAAGTCTTCCTAAATTTTCATTTATGATCATCTTACCATATGTTGAATGTCTAAAATAGCCATACATATATTTTGCATCAAATATATCGAGTGAAGTGAAGGAATGTGCACATTACGCAACTTGTACATTTGGTCCTTCAATATTCATTCCTTCCCCTCAATCGAACCTTTTCCATAACCACTACATTAACACCGTATACAAGCGAACAATATATATATATATATATATATGTATATCATCGTAGAGCCTGTCGTGTGATGCACGAGAGTTTGAGTTCAAGTTGAGTTCTCGCGCGTACCTGCAGCACGTAGTCCATACAATTTAGATTGGATCGCTCCTGACGCTGAGATCTAAATGCCGAGAACATATCCCCACCGGTAATTGAAAATCGTGGCCGTGGCAAGCTATCCTGGCGTTTGGGAAGCCTTGGCAAAGTGACTGAGAGAGATGAAGAGAGAAATAACAGTCACGAGCCGAATTTGGGTGGCTTTCCAACGGAAGCATTCACTATAAAGACCGAGCTTAGGTCAAAATTCAGAACAGTTAGTTATCTCCAATACATGTCAATTTTCGGATTGAGTCAATTGAGTAAAAGTTCATTTTCACCAATAAATTCCAATGTACTCGGATAAAAGGAAGATAAAGAGAGACAGTTGACCGGTGTTGCAAATTCAAACGCGGTGTCTGACTCAACAACGAATGTTCTACTTAGAGTGCAGTAAAGACCAAGTGAAAAGCGAGTATTTACGGTTTCCGACATCGGCGTCTTTCGTCGAGTACAATCGGCCAATATGTTCCATATAGGAATTACTCAGCTTGGAAAGTGCTTCATGTATGGTCGAGTGCATAGATCATTAATATTCGGATTTGGTATTCCAATGCCGGATTTATAGCTGGAGCGTACAGCCGAATGAATGATTGTCGAATGGCGTGCACCGATATCTTTATTTTTTTTTTCTTCAAATGGTACATCTGGTGTCTTGAACAATAGCCCATAGATATAGTTTTTGTACTTTTTCTCTCTAGATTTTTAATGGAATTAAAATTCTATTTCCGGTTAATTTAGTCAATATTTTTTAACTCTATGTGGTTGTTGTTGGCAAAGGCGGTAAAAATCGTAAAAAGCTGTGCATACGAAGGGATAAAAATATTGGAATTCACCGGGCCGCAAATTGAAAAGTGATAGTTGTAATAATAAACACAGTAGTAGAATTTATGAAGCCTGTACCGTCTGGTATGCCTGTAACGTCACAGCAGTACCAGCTTGTCGCATAGTCTGCGTGTCTGCTTTTCGGTACGAATATCACCGGAAACCCATCGTGTATCTAAATTGCAGGATAAAGTTTCACACGTCCATAACAGGACGCTGTGGAATTTACCGTGAGTCGAAAGCCTCTCGTAGATTCTCTACCCGAACATTACGCCAAGTATGAGAGACAAGCATAGACAAAGCTTACACACATATAGATAAACATGTACACGCAAATCACGGTTATTCCCTAAATTTTCCAGACTTTACTGAGAGTGAAATTAAAAAAACAACATCAAATAATGTAATTTAATAACAATTTTTATAATGACCGCACACCATTTTGACACTTCCCATCTATAATGGAAGTTTTGACCGAAAAAAAAAAGCGAGCGATATCCGCGGAACAATACTGATGGAACAAACAAAATACTGAAGACGTACCTTGGATGCGTTGGATGACTGGTCTGTTCAACCTCAAAACCTTTGATGCGAGCCAATGTTTGAGTTCATGTAGAATATGTATAGAAACGTGAAAATAGAGATGAAACGTCCATTGAATACGATAGGAATGACACACATTGGGATTTCTGTACTAGGTATATGAGAGAGTTTGCATGTGCAGTTGTTGGCAACTGGTCTGCCATGTGAACATGATCGGACATTCTCGCAACATTTCAATGTAATTCAAAACCACGAAAATTGTGTTGAGCGTTCAGTGCATGCCACAGTCCAATCGAATTATCGAGAGTTAACTTGTATACTGACTCTTTGACTCTTCCTATCATTCCTATTTATCATTTTGGTTATTCATTGGAATTTTATCATTTCAGCTATGACATGAGGAGCAAACACACGGAAAAAGCTACACATTGGAAAGATAAAGAGTTTCTCAATGAGAGGGCTCACTTTAGGACAGCCACTGAACCTGCTATTCTCAATATTAAAAGAGTTGAACAGAGGGACGAAGGAGAATATCTGTGTAGAGTAGATTTTGTACGGAGTCCAACGAGAAACTCCAAAATTTATCTCACTATAATCGGTGAGTGGCCTCATTCTTTAATTTTCGATTTTTTTTTGGCTTTTTTTTTTCATTTCCATTAAAAAGAGGAGTGTAGTCAAATATTTTCCTTTCATTTATCAAGAAGATATATTGTACAACTTGAAAAAGAATAATGGAGACGTGTGAGCTTGATGAAAGGAGAGAGAAAAAATACATACAGATTTATTTGTCAATTTTATCTGTCGTGTGACTCGGGGGAAATTATATAATATGCGGCATGTATACTTCATTGCAATATTCAGTATGGCTATTGATTATGTGTATATATAAATGCATATTGAGGAGAAAAGGCCGGGTTCCAGGCAGACTGAGCGCTTTCTCCCTTCGAGTTTATTAAGTGGATGTCTCGCGTGATTACTTCGGTACTGTGAATTCCAATCAACGTCATGAGCCAGGAGTCGATGAGGTGGTTCGAGTTATGAGGCTTCAACCAACATTATTCGCACCGCTGATCAATGAAAAAAACATTGAGAAGACAATCTGACACACTCACTACAATATTTAGTGTCTAATCTGAAAATATCTCTAAATTATCAAATTAATCGTCATAATCAGTCAATTAATCAGAGACTAATTGGAATGGGCTTCTATTCGGGGACATTGCTAATTTATTAGTGATCAATAGTCCACTTATTTCGAATGGGGGCATGTGTGACGATTGAAAGACCTATGAATCAATGTCTTTTTCAACTGGAAAGTGCTGGAATAATAAAACGAAAGGTACAAGAGAGAAAGGGGAGCTCGTCTGACTTGATGGGGTTTTATACAGGTGTTCGTGGTTGGTTCAACTTCACTCGTTCCTGATCGTGCACGCCAGACACGTGATAGCAAAATGTCAGGAGGATTTTAGACGTCCCCACGCGTCGGTATTCGTTTCCTTGACGTGTACTTTCTGCTCATCAACGTGTCAGTTGATTGTTCATCTTTTACGAGTTATGTTCGATGATCATTATTAATGCATAAATTCATGATGGAAATTCGTATTCTCATTAAGTAAATGGCACATTGTCTTGATTAATCTAGATATGGCCGGCTATAAAGAATATTTAGATAATCTATTATTTTTTATTCATCTATTTGTTTTAGTGCCACCTCATAAGCCGAATATCATAGATGAACATGGAAAAACTGTCTCGACAATTGCGGGGCCATACGAAGAAGGGGGAAGCATGCGGCTCACTTGCCTTGTTTCTGGAGGTTAATTATTTTTCTTGTAACAACATATTCAACTTGTTGATAATTTCCCGTTAAAATTAATTTAAAAATTAATGAATTTATTATATGACGTAGGGCGTCCAGCACCGACAGTCCGATGGTGGCGAGGTGAAACACTTCTAGAGTCTAGAGATGAGCCTGGTGAATTTCCAGCTCTACGTAGAAACACTTTAATCGTTACTGAGCTGACAAGGGCGGATTTGCATGCCGCTTTCACTTGTCAGGCTTCAAATAATAACATCAGCCAGCCAGTTTCAGCCTCAGTTACCATTGAGATGCACTGTAAGTATATACAGAATAAAATACGTGCTTCTCCTTGTTAACTTGTCCACATGAGAATGACAATTTATTATCTAAGTATATCTAAAAACTCACAACGTCCCAATAAAGTCCACTCAGAAATTGAAATTGAACAAAGTAACATGGAATATAATGGAGATTATAGATCACGGGTGGGGAAGAGAGAGAAAGAGGAAAGCAGAATGGAAGTCCTCGAGTTAATGCATCATCGTCCAGCCAAGCAACCAAACCATCTTCCCACTCCCTAACCATCCACCCACCTAATCGAGCTTGACTAATTAGAGGCCAGTCGGCTGGCATAATGGAGTCAGCCCAGCGAAATTGGCTAACGCTGGGCCTGATTTACAGACGGAGAGCGTGGAAATTGTAATGCCTACGAGTTGCTGCTCTTCAGCCATCCCTCTCTCTCTCTCTTTGTCTCTCTCTCCACCACTCCTCTTTTCCACTCATCTAACCTCACCACGGACCCGTGGTTCAGTGTTCACCACATACCCTTTATCCCAACCAGCCCTATGACCAGCCCAACATCATATCAGTTGTAAATCCATACGACCTCCACTCAAACTCAATCGAAACTACTGTCTCCAAATCTCCAAATATCTCCCACACTGAGCATATATACTCTTTAGTTTATATTTCTTCCATTTAATGAGTGGTTATACATAGAACGAGACAAGTATGAATTTCGTACGAACCGGTAGATTGTGCTCCTAAAGCCCTGGATACTTTCAGCACAGCACCACCACCACCACAACAACAACAACAACAACAATACCAACACCAAAAGGCATTAAAAAATGTAAAAAGAAAACTTGGAGTAGACGACTGAAGGCACTAAATATACATTTCCTTGCCACCCCTTGTCAGAGTTGTTGGAGAGTGTCTGGCATGACCCCCAACTCATTCACTTGGACTCTTCTGTATCGTGTCGTCCTTTTCAGCCTTCACCCTTCTCTCCTTTTTGTGTTTTTCTCAATGTATATGTGTATTATATTTCTTCTACATGCACCATTGCTTTTACTTGTGTTAAACTCTCCCTTTCTTGTTCTTAGATGTACTAGACTTTTAATTCCGAATTTTCGCTCAGCAGGGAAATCAATTTATTTAAAATTTCAAATTTTAAAACACACCTCAATTGTATATTCTCTGCAAATTAATTATTTCCTAAATATAACCCCTCGCAAATTAATGACAAAAAATATCGTGTGCTCGTGATTTATGTGAACGAAGGATTGCGTAGCATCACGTCATACTCAGTCCCCGTAAGTCTTCAGGATCGTAAAATTTAGCAGTCGGTACAGTACTTTTTATTATGCATCACCCGAATTTTACGGTGCTCTGACATTGAGCCCCTTTTACTACGCAGCACCAGATTTTTTTTCCGCGATTTCACCACAAATATTCTTATATTTTCCTCCTCCATGCAAAAGAGTCTTCTATATACATATATATATATATAATGAAGAAAACCTTGGTTTATAGAAATAGTAGTTAGACGGTGCATGCATTCAGTATAGTGGTAATAAAGAGCAAGGACTCGCTGATTAAAACACGACGGAAGCAGCGAACCAAAGAGAAAAAAAAAAAACTTCCGTGAATTAAGCCCCGAAGTATTTTCAATTCGCAATAGCAATAAGTTTAACGCCCTCCGCTCATTCGTTACCTTTTTTCATTGTTGTTATATTCTGGCTGTTCCCTCACGGCACCTCATGTTCCCATCTATTCTCAACCCTAAGTGCAATTTTCTTTTCTCTTTACATGGCTAAGACTCTCTGGAATAATTATTGTCTGTTGGTTGGATTTTAATCGAACTTCAATATTCTCTTTTCCGAGGATACTCGTATTTTCGATCATTTCCACATTGGTATTTTTTCACCCACTTAGAGTCGGACCAATAATTCAAGTAATCGAATCACTCGGCAATCTCCATACTCAATTAACTTTTTATGTAATTAATTGAATTGACATCGCAGAATTGCATCATCATACAAACTACAAAATTCATTAGCTCTCACAACATTCATTATGTGATATTAATATTTTGGGGGAAATAAATTTGCTCCATATGCTTTCACATTTGCCAATTAAATATAAAAGAAAGGAAGAGCCCATTAAAAAGGCATTTAATTGTCAGTACAGTCGCTGTGACGTCCGTGATAAAGTCTGAATGAAAAATCTCATCGCCGACTCAATCACAAGACTATCTTGCCCTGCTACCAGGTATACTCTTTTTTTCCCCTCATCATATATAGTTCATATACCCAGGGGCAATTTCCAATCGTCGTCAGACACGTCAGAGACGAAA